CATGTGCTCGGATCGAGAGATGGGGCCTCTGTCTACAACCGTATGAGTTCCGAGTTGTACACGTGGCCGGAACTAAGATGATAGCGGACCCGCTTTCGCGTCTGTTGAAAACAGATGAGGCACCCGACGCAAACCTGTGGAAAGAGGTGGAAGAATATGTAAGATTCGTCGCAACCGAAGCAACTCCCAGGGCCATGACCACACGAGAAGTCGAGAAGTGCTCACACCAAGACATCGAACTGACACATGTTCGAAAATGCATCGAGATGGGCGAGTGAGGAAACCCGCACTGTGCCAAATATTTACCTGTCTGTGAGGAACTGTGCACTATTGGTCAAATCGTGATGCGAGGGACCAAAATGGTAATTCCGGTAGAGTTGCGTCAAAAGGTCACTGCCATTGCTCATGAAGGTCGTGTGGGGTGGTCCGGCACAAAACTTCGCCTTCGCACAAAAGTGTGGTGGCCAGGTCTCGACAAGGATGTAGAGAAATTTGTCCGAGCCTGCAGTGGATGTCAGCTAGTGGCTAGACCGACACCACCAGAACCAGTATTGCCAACCGAACTGCCACCTGGAAAGTGGCAAGACTTAGCCATCGACCTACTAGAACCGATGCCGGCAGGAGAATATATATTTGTTGTCGTAGATTACTACTCCAGATACTATAAAGCGGAGATCACGACATCAGTGACCGCGAAGCGCATGATCGAGCTGTTAAGTAAGATGTTTGCAAGTCACGGACTACCGTTCACCATCACCAGCGACAACAGACCACAGTTTAGAACACATCCGGTGAATTCTTGTCAGAGAACAACATAATCCATTGAAAGGTCACGCCATTGTGGGCACAGGCGAATGGTGAAGTGGAATGCCAAAACCGCTCCATGTTGAAAAGCATAAAGATCGCGCACGCTGAAGGCAAAAACTGGCGAACGGAGCTAGTGTCATACCTCCGATCTTATCGCACGACTCCGCACAGCATTACTGGAAAACCGCTAGGCGACTTGTTTTTCGGCAGAGCAATTCGGACGAAACTTCCAGAACTCCGTCAATTCGTGCCGAACGATGGGGAAATGCACAACGCTGTTTCCCTTTTTCTCCACAACGCTGTACTGGTCGGGTTTAAAGTCTGTTGTAAGTTTATCGACTTTCTTCTGTCTGACCAACACGGTGTCACCCGGTGCTATGTCGCTCTCCCTAGCGTTTCTCCTTGCGTCGGCGTAGATTTTGCCTCCAATCTTCTTCTCCCAGTCTCTGTCCCTATCGAGTCACCACAAAACGTGACATACAAACGAAACATCACAGAGGTGAAGAAATTCGTCACACCGGATGAGGGCAACGCCGTCCCTACCGACAACGTTATACCGACGGAAGCCGACGGGGAACGAGGCCGACCATCCAGGCAACGCAAGGCTCCAGACCGCTATGGAGAGTGGGTGTCTGCTGTGCTGCCCCCCAGTGACATTTGACTGTTCATGTGATAAGTGCTGCCGGCCAGTGACACTTAAACTAACCGCAATCACAGCTTTGACTCGTGTCACGGGCAGAATAATCCCTGAGCAAAGCTTAGACTTAGGCAGTCTACCTACAGTCTATCACTATTGTTTACACAAAATGTTTATAGTATGTATTTCATGCATGCAAGTAACGATTGTATTCCATTACACAACTTGTGTGTATTGACATGTCACGCGTCGTGCTACCTAGTCAGAACTCGTCATAGAATGACTAACAAGAAGATATCTTGTGTTTATGTTTAATTACTTTTTGTTACAAAGTCAGAGTTTGCTAAGACTGATCAGAGTAAATTGCGCAGAGACTGTTGTGCTTAAAGTGTACCACGCGCTGTTGTAACAGTTGTTATGGACACCTGTCGTGTGACTGTAAGATTACAGTTTGTTTTATACCGGTACGGTAATTGTGTTTGATTATTTCTTATCCGAGAAAAGGAGAGATGTAGTATTCTGCTATCACACAATGATTGCTCTAATTGTTATGTTCAAACAGTTGCATTGTGGGAAGGGCTCTCTTGGAATAAATGGCTGACCAGCGAGGTTAACAAACACAATCTGTCGTGTACATTATTGGCCTAAGTGGTTAAATCCATAATCATCAGCAGTTATTACAGAGCCTATCGACATCATACTTTTAAGGGCTAGTTGAAAACCAGAAGGGCTAGTACAAACCTTATCTTACTAGCCCTTCAGGCTAACTTGCATATATTGTCCTTATTTCTACCCCTGTACTAGTACTGCTCATAGGGTCTATGTCCCCCAGGGTACTGCCGGAACGTACCCTAGCTGGGTACGAACCGGTATACCGGAACGTACCCTGGTCACTATTTGATATGGAATTAGGGTTAGGATTAGGGTTAGGGTTAGGGTTAGGGTTAG